GCGGATGGTAACCTGAAGGAGAATGTTTCCGATGAGGCAAAAAAGAAAGAGAAGCCGAAGAAGGTTAAGAAGCCTAAGGTAACTGTGGCTGAGGCAGCTGCGAAGATCGACGCTGCGGATCTTGCTGCTTTCCTCTCCAACGTTTTGGTAATTTCTTTCTTGTAATTTACCTGAATTTTCATTTTTGTTGTGGTGCAATTTAAATTTTGCTAAACTATGAACTGTTATTATTATTATTATTATTATTATTTTTTATGTTGGTTTACTAGGTGTCGTATGAGGGCCAGCAGGAAATACAATTGATGAGATTTGCAGATTATTTTGGGCGTGCATTTTCAGCAGTGAGCGCATCGCAGTTTCCTTGGCTGAAGTTGTTCAGGGAGTCTACGGTGGAAAAAATTGCTGATGTGCGTTGGTTTATTTGTATTTTCTTTTAGATCCGTTATCTACGAATTTTGGAGAAGCTGGGATTTCTTAATATGCCTACCAGCATACATTTGCACGTTGGCATATAAATGTCTATTTGCATTTATTAGCATGTTTTTAGGATTGAAGAAAAATATTTGATGCCGGTGAATGCTGATTTCTATTTCAATGGGTAGGGAACGGATGATGATATAGAAGACTTTTGTGTTTCGTATTTTCAGTAGCTAATATGTTTAAGTTGGAATATATGGAGAATTTACACTGGAGTGGTCCTGATATTGGCTGAAGATTAATATGGAAGGAAGATATCATCCTCTCTATCTTTGCGTTTGGAAAAGATATCGCAAGTATGGAAGGCATAGCTGAAGATTGGTGCTTCAAATGCAAAAAATGGAGGAAATTATCCAACCACAAGCAATTTGAATAATCATATCATTCATTTTTTGTGTGGAAAAAGGACAGTTCGACTTCGGAAAGCGAGTGTTTTATGCACTTGAGTGGTCCTAATATTAGATCTTTATGGTCCCTGGTTTGCTGGATAATATATGCTGACATTTTTGAGTTTATGCATTGGAGACATACACCATTTTTTTGGATTTTTCTTTTTTTATTTTCCCAATAATATCTGATACGTGGAGATCTAATGTGTTGATATTCAATCAACAGGTCCCTGTCTCGTATATTTCCGAAACTGTTTACAAGACGTCAGTTGACTGGATTAATCATTGTTCCTATGATGCACTTGGTTCTTTTGTGTTGTGGTCATTGGATGGCATCCTTGCTGACTTGACAACCCAACAGTTGGGGTCTAAGGTCTCAAAGAAAGGAGGGCAACCAACATCCTCGAAGTCTCAGGTTCATGACTTGTAAAATATAATCCTGTTGTAAATATTGAATTGGTACCTTTATTACAATTTTGACAGGGCATGTCAGTGTAGTTTTACTAATGGATACTTATGTGAGCTCCTATTACTGCAAGGGACCATCAAACTTTGTCACTGCTAGGGCCATTTCACCTCACATTCTCCTATAATAATTTTTTTTTT